ACTAGCCTAGCCCCTCAGGCTTTATTTACTCAGAGTTCTCCTGTGCACAAGGCACTTCTACAAGCTTTCCCCTTTCCAAGCACACTGGGGGAGGTGACACTGCACCAGCTTTCTCAGGCTTGCGTGTTTATTTACAGTTCACATGGGAAGTGTCCCTTCCCCCCTCTCCTGTGGAGTTTTCCTCCCACTGCCACTTTTACAAGCTTCCCTGCTCCTGGTTGCTGGGCATGTGCCACCACCCCTGCCTTCTCCAGCTGGCTTTTGAGGCATTTCCCCTCCCCCACTGTTTGGCACTCAGGGCACCCCACCCTCTTTGCTACATGTCTTTTTGTTGTTATTGCTTATTATTCAGTTTCTCTTTTTACCCTGGGTAAAGGTCGGTCTGTCCAGGGGGCTATGCTGATCTAGCCCAGGGTTGTCTGTGGGAGTATGACATACAGCTTAGCTCACCTTGTGGTCTGTGTCTTCCCAAGCCATCTGGGTGCTGCCATCTGGCAGCAGCGTGGGAGCCCTCCTGGTTTCTCCATTTAATGTGAAGTGGAGATGCTATGCGCAGGCTGGAGGTGTGGAGGGCTCAAAGTTTTGCCTCTTCTCAGTGGTTTTTCCTGTAAGGTGTATCTCCAGCGTCTCTCCAAGATTTTACTTTAGGAGGCTCGCTTTCTGCTTCCTCCCTCTAGCCGCCATCTTGGAATCCCTTTCTCCATAATTTTCAACTATCCTGTTCTTCATTCATTGCTCCTGCTCTCCCTCTCTCTTCACATTCTGTGACCCTTCTTGTGGTGAGTCAATAGAGAAAGCTTCTACTCCACCATCTTGTCCCACCTATAGACTTGCAAGTTTTACAGTTCTATAATCGGTGTTTTATTTTTTTGTCTGGCATGGCACACAACTTCATAATATACTCGCTTAGCTTTACAAAGCAATTTAATTAGGTTATTTGACCCACTTAATACTTGGGAAAAAATGAGGATAAATTTTTAAAATGTATTTATAATCAATAAGCCATTGACACTTTCTGACCCACTTAATACTTGGGAAAAAATGAGGATAAATTTTTAAAATGTATTTATAATCAATAAGCCATTGACACTTTCTAGACATTAACCAATACATAAGTGCATAAATGCATAATGTTACTTATATTTTTTTAACAATTTGGAATGCATATTTTGTGTTTATTCACTTATATATTCTGAAACACCTATTTTGTAAGGCATCTAAAAATAGATGTTTAAAAAGAAAAAGAATATTTTGTAAAGAAGGAAGGCATTCCTGGAAATTCCATTAATATTCCACTTTCAGTGTAGAGAGGTTTTTATAGATATATGCTGGAAAATTAAAATTTGTATATATGTCAACTTTTTACAGCAAGCATTATTTATTATAGTAAATATTATCCTAAATTCATAAAAATCAATTTTTTATATATTTAAGACTAAATAACTTTTAATTTTTCTAGTCTTACTAAGACATTTTTGTGGATTGTTTATTCATAAAAAACATAATCTAATCTATAACAGGCACTCAATTTTGTCAAAGGAGTGAGTAAATGAAAATGTTCAAAAAAATCTCCAGAATAAATATAGTAATATACATACAAGGTGTTCAAAATAGTCAGTTGTTTACAAATCTTTTGTGTTCCTAAAATTATTAACCACAGGTACTCTTGTTTCATTTCCTAGAGAGTTACAGGTTAGGCTCTGCCCAACCTGAGGGGTGTGGTATCCTCGGCGGCATCAATCACCTGGCAGTCTTGATAAATACATGAGCAAGTATAATTTCAAGTTCATGAAATAATGACTTTTATGAGTTTGAAACACTTTTATAATACACGTGGATTTGGTTGTCAGTGTTTCTGTGTACACCTCTCTCTCTCTGTTTCTATTTTCTCACCTCCTGCTGTTTGTGTGTTAGGACCAGATTACTAAAAAGCCCAGTAGATGGATGACAGACAGCCAGGAAAGTTGAGTAAACACTTTTTCTCGTAAAGAAACAAGTGTCATGGCAAAAGATTTGCTTAGACATAAGGTTATAATTAAAGGTAAAAATAACCACTTTGGAAAATAAAGTGGTTCCAGCTGTAGATAGTGTATTTTTTTTCTTTTACTATTTACTGTATTCTATATGGAGTATGTAGCTATTTTTAGGCACTAGACCTTCTAAGCAGTGTATTGTTCTTTTTGAAAATGTAATCCAATATATTTTAATGCTTATGATGAGGAAAGGCTATTAATTTGTTTGCTAAGTCAAGTCCACTGCACAAGATGATCATTTGTTCAGCAAACAGCCCAGTGCCCAACACACACAGCAGCCATTCAACAAACTAATTTCTCTTTCCCTTCCTATACCTTATTGTAGTTGTCATTTAGTGAAATGGGGTGCTTATAGGAAAAGCAAGACTATAACATTCACACATTGTAATATCAAACATCAACATTTGGAAAGAATGCACAAAAAAATCCATCGAAGAATTTTTATATAAAAATTTTTAGATGGTACAATAATAATCTGATCATAGATAAACTATTTTTCAACAACTAATTTCAGATGAACTTGACATTTAAAAAAGACATAATTTGGCTCCAAATTTTACTTGGAATAAAATATAATATAGCTTCTTATAGATTTGGTCTTTTTTTTTTACATGCATACTTTTACATAGCAGAAAGTAAACTACTTATTAGGACAGAAAACTTATATGGACCTTAGTACCAACAAACATTATAAGCTACGAGAATTGTAATATAATTTAGTAACAGATTGTAGTCACACTGTAAAACTACCAATTTCATATCAGCACATTTGCTATGATGTCTACCACGTACCAAAGACTGGAAGTTCATAAACATGTGTACACTTAAATTAAATTGGATGCCTAACACTTTTCTTCTGATACACAATCTTTCATATGTATCTTCATTATTTATATCAGGTGTTGCCACTTCCCAAAATATCCCACACATTCAATTTCAAATAATAGCTACAAAGTGCCTTCTAAATCCAGATAACAACACTGTTTCTAAATTCCTATGTTAAGATAAATATACATTTATACAAAATGTTTTCATGCTTAGAAATATTACAAATTGATCACTTGGTTATAGACATTTCTTGATTAAAAAAAAGACTATCCTAGAAGAATTTGAAAGAAATTATTTGTTATATATACATTTTTTAAGTTATAAATATTGTTAAGTACCTGTAGAATTGACAGATGGAGAAAACAAGATATTCACAGGCTTTCTTTTAAAGATATAGATCAATGAGGAACTCAAGAAAAGTGAAAATGAAAGTCTTTTCTAAGGGAAAGGGCTAGAATTCAAGTTGTATGGGTTCCCATAGGAGGGGTTCTCAAACAATTGATGAATGGGTGATCACATTCACTTTAATCTCTACATTCAGCAGGGTGCTCAATTTTGAACACAATAGTACTTGATGACAAGTTAGAGCATGAGGTAATCTTAATATATTACATACTACTTTTCACAGATGCAAGGTTTAAAGTATTACTCCCAAAGTGTGGGCAAATATACACAAAAGAACAAAACAGGAAAATTTAAGTAATGCATGCCAGTTACTTGTTTCTTGGGAAAGTAGTACCATTAAAATACTTAGCACTCATCAAGTTATTATTGTTTGCCAGACAAGGTGCTGAGAAAGTTCCTTATCCAATAATCCTCTTGACCCTCTCTACTAAAGTCCTAGTATTATGTTCTTCTTTTACATGTAGAATCTGGGGCTCACAGTGGTCGAGGAACTTGGCCCGAGTCAGGTTTGGTAAGCTTTAAATATATGTGAGTGGATCTTGTCTTACAGTGTGAAAAAGACCACAAGACAGGGCATGAAAGGGAGCTGGGTGTGTATGGGGAAGTAGGGGAACACACAAGGTCACTTGTTCGTTCTTAAGCTATTTATTTCCACATATCATCCAGAAGACTGGCTATGGAAATCATTACTCTGTACACATAGTACTCTTACAAATCTCTCTTATCAATTGAAGATTCCCTGCTGTGAATATGAGTGTAACAATATAATGAAGACAAATTACATGATTTTATATATATAATTATTTTAAATCATCAATATATTCATGATAGAGTACCACACAAGGCAATTTTGACATTAGGGTTTGTACTTTTATATTACTATTATGATGGTTTCAAATTCCACCAGAAAAGTATTCTTATTCTTTGAAATTTACACCTTCAATTTATAGTTTCTGTTATAATAGTTCTGAGGTATCATGGATGTACCTTGACTTCATTATTCAAATAAAATTCATGTTACTACTGCAGTGCTAGCACAACAACTAAGCCTTAAACTGAGCCAGATATCTGCTAAAGTAAATTGCTTTACACACTAAAGCCAGTCAATAAATAAAAGTCACTTGCAATAGAATTAAGAATACAGTTGCAGGGCTGGAGTTCAGTGGCAGAGCAGTGGCCTTGTATGCCTGAGGCCCTGGGTTCTATACTAATCACTGAAAACAAAACAAACATACACCCAAAAAGAATGTAACTCCTTGCTTAAAGAGACCCTAAACTATGCTTTTCAGATTTTTGAACAAGTATAATTTAAAAATTATTCAGTGTCTTCAAGTGTTATGTCCCCAAACTAATTTTAATTAATTAATTCATGCAAGGCTCTTTAATTAATGTGATAAAAATCTCTTTCATCAGCTAACTTTTAGGGAAAACACATTCCCATTTTTTAAAAGGCTTTATTAAAAAGCGTTTGTGAAAAAAATGCAGTGTACATAATTAACTAAGAATGCAGTATACATAACTAACAGAAATTAAATTTGCCCATGGGAGCCAACCTGTAAGACTATAACTTTGCTTAAATTTAGCACCATTATTATATATAAAAGATGGATATGCTACAGTTATTAAAAATGTTTTCCTCTGCAATCAATTCATCATTTCTTGATACAGTGTAAAAGGTTATACTCCAGAAAAAAAATATATTACAAATGTGCATATATGCGTAACGAAGAGGTCTTGCTACCTTCACAGTTTTCTTTTTAAAATGGTGACATTTCAAAGGATGAGAAAAGCCTGAGTTTGGTTAAGTAACTGAAATAAACATAAGAGAATGTCACTAGTACATTTTTACAAAGGCCCAGTACAGGTGTGATAGTCCCTAGGGCAATGATTAAACTAAGTCTAACAAAAATAAAGGGTAAATCCTGCAGCAGAATGCCCAGAAAACTGAGAAGAGGGTTTTTGGGAGTGAATATCATTCGGAGGAGAGAAATAAAACTGAAGATGTAGACTGGGTACAGCCAGCCTGACTTGTACACAGCAGGGTGACCTGCCACACGCACCATTTCTACAGTGTCAGACCACAGTAAAAAGCCCCACAGGAATAGCTCCGCCCTGACATCTCTGTGGGACATTGTCCTCAGAATTCTCGAGTGAAAGGAGGGCTCCTGAGGCCCCACTACAGCGAGAACCTGGCTGTGTGGTCGCAACCCAATGGTGGTTTTGGCTGCAGGGTTTTCTTCATTTTGTCTCACTTGCTCCGTCACCGTTTTTATCTGTTGCAAAGACGTGTGGCTGTGCTCATCTTCGAAACCTGCAATGAATTGATTCACATGTATTTTAATGTGTAAAATTCAAAATTCTTAATTCAGTTGTTATTAAGCCAGGCCTGGTGGTACATGGGTGTGATCCCAGCACTCAGAGGCTGAGGCAGGAGAATGGTGAGTTTGAAGCCAGCCCGGGCAAGGTCTCAAAAACAAACAAATAAGTAAATAAATGTTGTTAAAGTGTAAAATTCTAAATTCAAGGTAAAAATAAAATTCTAAGTGTTTTCTTATTTGACACATGAACATAATAGGCTAGCACACTGAAAAAACAGAGGTGCACATGGTTCTTGGTGCCTTGGTATTTTCCTGAGTATGCATCCTAAGTTGCCTTTGCCATTTCATAGTAACAGCCATTATTAGTTAATGAGCTAAGCACTACTACACAGATTATCCTACAAATACAGAAACTGAGTCCTGGGAGAATAAATGAGAGTGAATTCACATACACAGGAAGGGGCAGAGCTGGAACTCACATCAGATTTATTTGACTCCAGCTGACTCACCCTTAATTTTAAGCTGCTATTACCTAGAGACAAGATATCGTGTGCTAATTACAAAGCATGCAGGTATGGTAAAATTAAATGAATCTAAAAGTCCACCAGTCAAACCTTGTCATTTTGTAAAATGAAACAGACTTGTGGGATCATTATACGCCAGTTCTCTAAGTGGGTTGGTGCTGAGAGGAAGGGAATCTATTTGACCACTAAAGAATCACAGTAAAGAGCAATATGCTGAATTCACGATTTGTAAACCGTTCTTTCCCAAAAGTTTTTCAAGTGGTCAGTAGTATTGATTAATCCCTGTACATGACTTTGAGACTGTACACAGTCAATACACCTGTCATCTAAATGAGGAGGACATTTGATTTACAGCCATTGCTCTGTGTATGTGTGTGTCTGTGTGGGTGTTCCTCCCTAAGTATTCATAGGGCATCAAGGTTGGAGATTAAATCTCCAGACCTACAAATCTCAAGACCTACAAATGGTGTTAATATCACTGCTTTTGTTGATAGTCATGGTGGTTTTTTTGTAGAGATAAAACTCAGTGCCTTGCACACACTAGGAAAGTGCTACGCTGAGCTATACCCACCCCCAGCCCAATGGCATTGTTTTTTATGTGTGAAAGGTAAAGCTTTCTTTTTCAAACATTTATCCACTTAAACACCACTTTGGTTGCTAAGACTTTATCAGCCTTGACTAAGTTTACCCAGCGAACATGCTGAGCTGTCATACTGCCTGATAAGATGGAATTTAAAGGCGGTCATTAGATTAAATAGTTCTAAAGGTCAAAGACACAAAGTCAATACAAATGTGTTGAACTGTATTGAGCTGAAAGTGAAAACATTTTAAAATAAATTTTGATTAATGACCAAGAAATAAGCGATTTTTAAAATGACACGTTGTTTTCCATACAATTCACTAGTTGTTTTAAAAACTGGGTATCTTTATAAACTCAAAAGATTACATTCTTAATAAAACACTGCTTACTTGCTTTGAATCATTCACAGGAAAATGCCAGCACCCATGACCCTTACATACACTTTTATCCACCTTCGATGGCACTGTGGCTTGAGTGAGTACCACCTCCACACAATGTTTAAGTAAGAGAAAAAAATAACATACTAACTAACTATTATTTTAAGATGTATAAAATGATCTCAGATGCTCACTTGCATCTCTCATTTATATTTTAAGAACATAATACAGAAAGTATGTACTTTTAGCCAGATGAGGTGGTACATACCTGTAATCCCAGCACTTGGGAGGCAGAGGCAAAAGGATTACAAATTCAGTCAGCCTGACCTACATAAGAAGTCTCAGCCCAGCCTGGACTATATAGTGAAACTCTGTCTCAAACAAATGAACAAACATATACAAAAAAAGAAGAAAATGTATTTTTTGAATATTCTAGGATCTAAAGAACTCTCTCGCTTCTTTTAGTAGAAAAAAACTATTTAAATGAAAATCCAAATTCCTTTGCCAACACTGAGCTCACGTTGATATAATGGGGGCTCTTAAAGAAAGATGGTAAATTCAGCATTGTTTCAAGACCAGAAAGTATCAGTCAAAGAAGTGATACACTGGTGTTTTCTTAACAGACAGTGAGTTATAATATCTGAAAATGAGAGCTATTAGTATGAGCAATGAATTCTTAGCTCAAATTTGATCTTGATGAGATACTAGGTCTCAATCCATGTGAATTTGACCAATTCATCTGGGAATTTTTTATGACTTCATAGCTCAATAGAGACTAGTTCAGATTTGGGGGTAAGGGGAATCTGCTCCTGTCCTTTTATCCAGTGAGAATTGCTATAACTTCTAATTAGAAAGCTTTACTGGCCTCCCAAAGGAGAGTTAAGAGCCAAGACATCTTTGGCTTGTGGAGTGGACCAGCAAGTGAATCTCTGAGCAACATAAAGGTTGTGTATGAACCCTATTCCTTTGACTCCATCACTGGTTTCCCCAACAAATTAGTGCTTTTTAAATTCCCATGTATAGCTGGGATTCTTTTTCTTAATGTTAGTTGTTAATTGTTCCATTTGGGTAAAACAGTATTTATTTGTGCAAAAATCCAAAAAAGATACAAGCTGAAAGAGAGCAAAACACTCACTTCCGGAGAGGCTCCCAGAACCCTGAAACAAGCAAAAATCTCAGTCATTCTGTGCAGTTCCCCACATCTGTGCCAGTGACTCAAACAACCTTTTGTTTTACTGTGTAAACTAAATAATTAAGAAAACACTGGGAGTGGGCATGGTGCCTCCAAGCTACTTGGGAGGCAGAGGTAGGAAGATCGATGTTCAAAGCTGACCTGGGCAAAGTTATGGAGGCCCCATGTGAAAAATGAAATCAAAAGATGGCTGGAATGTGGCTCAAGAGGTAGAATGCCTGTCTAGCAAGAATGAGGCCCTGAGTTCAAACCCCAGTGCCACAGAAAGAAAATATTATTGCCATAACAAATATTTAAATAAGTAACCCCTACCTAATTTTGCCTTATTATTTCCTTCTATTGATTTATTTCTATCTCTAACTTGTTCCCCAAAAGTTTTTGATTGCTTGCAGGGAGAAAAATATAACATATTATAACAAATCTATAGTGAGGCAGTTTTTAGATGACAATAAGAAAGCTATAAATAGAATGAGGAAAGACAAGATGGAGGAAACACAAGAAAAGGCGCCAAAAACACATTAGGAGTGAAGTTGATATTTGAAATGTCCTCATTAGACCTCTCACTGTCTTCATAAACAAACACATATTAAAGTGTTACACTCTGCCTAACCTAGGCATCAGCAAATGACATCACAAATAGCAAGGAAATAGTCCCCACCTTTATGACTCTATGTTTCCTGAATTCACACCAACATATGTAGAATAATAAATGGTGGAAGGGCTTTAAGAGGAAAGTACAGTCATCCCTGAGATTGGTTCTTGGGACACTTATGGGAACCAAAATACACAGATGCTTGAGACCTTTGTTTTAAAAAGGATGTATCATTTGCATGTAAACTACACACATCCTCCTCTGTACTGTAAATCATCTCCACATTACTAACAACACCTAATACAGTGTAAATGCTACATAGTGTATGCTATGCTATAACATTTAGGGAATAGCAATGAGAAAAATGTCTGTATGTGTTTCTATACAGATGCAGAAATTTTTTTCTGATATTTTTGCTCCATCATTGGTGCATCCACAGATGCAGACACTGGGTATGGAGGGCTGACTATAAGTTCTGTGATGAGAGACTGTCACAGAGGATCCAGATTAGCCTAGGAAGTCAAGGGCAGCTAATCTGAGAAGTGACAATAAAGCAGAGGTAAGAAGAATAAGTAGGAATGAATCACATGAAGAATGAACAAGAAATTAGTCAGGTTGTACGAATAGCATGAGTCAAGCAAAATCCTGCAGCTAGCATGAATTAGAAAAGTCTGAGGAGTGGTTAGGGAAGCCAGGAGGGAAGAAGAAGCTGAAAGGAGCTGACAGTTATTAAGTGGATTCTATATACCAGGCTCTGTTCTAAGCCCTTTAGATGCATAAATTCACTTATACAAACCCTGTGGTTTAAATGGTATTATTTTCCCATTTTAGTGATGGATAAACTGAGACAGAGGTCATGATGCTAGCAAGTTGAAAAATCAGAACTTGGGTTTCAACCCCTGAAACATTGTCTGTCACAAGGACAGATTAAATAAAACCTTTAGGACTAGGATAAACATTTTCAACTTTGTTCTATGTTCCATAGAAAGTCTTTGCAAAGACCTGAGCAAGAGAAAGACCCATTTTGAGAAGGGAAGACAGTGGCTCAAAGAGAACATGGTGAAGTCAGCAAACAGGCAGCTGATACTCAAGAAGCTGCTTACTCAATTCTCCAGAACAGGAGCACAAAGTTCTCAGAAAAAAAACGCGACTAGTTTTCATTAACAGTCTCTGGATTCTAGTTTTCCTGAGAGTAAAATATTCTAAAGGAAAATAATGGTTCAATCATAACACTGAAAGGAAAAACTCTACAGAAGATAATTAATGATCCTATTAAAGTAAGTTTTAAGAAAACAAATGAAGGACAGGAAGCTCTTTCAGTCATAACGCTCTGAGAGAGCAAGAGAAAAACCTGGCAATACATTATAACCCAGTCTAAGGTAAATATGAACATTATTATTTTGCCACTGTATATCTATGGGGGTAAGACAAGTAAGTTTTAAAATTTTTTTTGTTATCTTATTGTTACTGGGTGTACATTATGACATTTACCAAAGTTCTTACAATATATCATAGTTGAATTCACCCCTCCATCATTCTCCCTTTCCCCTTTCCTCCCATTCCTGGAATAGTTTCAGCAGGTCTCGTTTTTCCATTTACATAAATGTGCACATAATATTTTCACCATATTCACCCTCCTACAGTCTTTCTTTATATCCTCCCCCTCCCACTGGTACCAACCAGACAGGAACTGTTTTACCTAGCTGTTTTCCGTTTTTGGAAAGAGGC